GATGTGTCTATAATGTGTGCTTTGCTAAAACCTCAAGAGTGCTGTAAGGTACAGGTTTCTATATTGTGAACCTGTCTGTGTATACATATATGGTCTTAGGAGAAAATTCTGAATTTTTGTAAGTCTGTGTAACATTTTAATATTATTTGTAATGTTCACTAAGTGATAAGTTCACTTGTGTTCTACAGTTGGAATCATTTAGCTTGAGTTGACAAGTTTGCCAAGCTTGGTTTACTGAATCAAGAAACAGTTTTGTCAAACATGGTACTGTTATTAGTGTGTAAGATCTGTGTATGGTGTCCTCCCTCTGCCTAGGAGGCTTTACGCAGATACTAGTGTAAAATTTCTACAAGGGTAATAAAACTTAAACATATTCAAGTGCTGATAAATGTGTTAGCTGATTTTAATTTTTTTCAAATATTTGTGAAGGTTTTGACAATATTTCAATTAAAACTGCTATAGGTTTTTGACCTTATATTTTGAAAAACTGAGAGCTACAAAAAGGTTGCGAAACAATACAAGGTCTTCTATATGCTGTTCACCTATAATGATTGATAACATTTTCCACATTTGCGTTAACACTCTGTGTATATTATTACTATTGTTATTTTGCTGAAATAGTAAGTTGCGGACATTGTGACCCTTCTAAATACCTCACAGGTAGCTCCTAAGAATTAGTATGTATTGTATTTAATACATACTATTCAGTTAGTATTTATAATAAGTAAATCAATGAGGGAAAAAGGAAAGTTCATCCTTAGTGTAGAATGCCAACTATTAAATGTAGCAAAAAGGATGGAATTAAAAAGCCGCTATTTGGCAAGTTATCACAGTAATCATTGTTTTAGGTAGTATCAGTGAATGGCAAAACTAGTAGGGGAAAGTTTGTGAGGAACAGAATATAGTCAACGTATCTTTCCACAAAATACTTATTAGTTACAAAGGGGAAAATAGTAACTTTATAACAAAAGAACCTGGTAGATGCTGCCTTATCCAAGCAACGGTCAACACCACTGGTCATGAGACACAAACATGTACCTTCTAATATCTACACTGAGAACACGGCATTACTTTGTGGGCAAAAAAGCACAACTTGCTGCTTTTTTTGTTTGTTTGTTTTTAAATATTCTGTGTTTGCCAGATGCAATCTAAATTGACATCCAGAAATGTAGCTTAAAGTGGTTTTTGTTGTAAAGCACTTTGATGGATGCTGATGGGAAGATTAAATGTCTTTCAATGTTAGTAAAGTTCTGCAAGCTAAAAATAATAATAATAACTAAGTACAGAAGTTGTGGCTCGGTGTTGTAATTTACTCACATGTCCCCTGGGCCTTAGTTGCATAGTCTTTCTGGACATAGTCCCTATCCTGGCACTACTATTAGACATCACACAGAAACAAGCCTCTCACTTCCTATTTTAAAGCTGTGGGAGGCTGGGCGTGGTGGCTCACGCCTGTAATCCTAGCTCTCTGGGAGGCCAAGGCGGACGGATTGCTCGAGGTCAGGAGTTCGAAACCAGCCTGAGCAAGAGCGAGACCCCGGCTCTACTATAAATAGAAAGAAATTAATTGGCCAACTAATATATATACAAAAAATTAGCCGGGCATGGTGGCGCATGCCTGTAGTCCCAGCTACTCGGGAGGCTGAGGCAGGAGGATTGCTTGAGCCAGGAGTTTGAGGTTGCTGTGAGCTAGGCTGACGCCACGGCACTCACTCTAGCCTGGGCAACAAAGCGAGACTCTGTCTCAAAAAAAAAAAAGCTGTGGGATCTTGAAAGCATGGAATTTGCATGTTTTGTTCATTCTGCCTGAACTACACATGCAGATATCTTAAACCAACAAAAACACAGCTTTTTGGTCTACTTTGTTTAGGAATTTATTGTCATAAATGTATTCATATTCTCTAATTGCAAAGAAAAATATCTTTTCATTAAGCAATTTAAGCCTGAAATCAATTTCTATAAATGATTTCATCTCCCTCCTTTTCATTTTTACTTTACTGAATTTTATTTGGAATTTATTACTTTCCATTTAAATTTTACAACAAAGATTTGATTCAATGTTCAGTTGTTTTTCTCAGTTCAAATTTAAACAAATACAGTTTTTCCCATCGTGACTGTCCTTTGGTGGTCATTATTTCTACAAAGTCTGTATTTCTCAAGGGAAATTCTTATTTATATGTATCAGGGAGATTTTTAGTCATTTGTATTAAGTGACAGATTTTGCTGCATGCATTTTTTAATTAAAGTACTTTTAAAAGTTTAAGATCATTTGGCTTACAGAACTGAATTACAAAAAGAGCACAGACAGTTCCTTTATACCCTTATATATATTAACATCTTATTAATATATAACTATAGCATGATTTTCTACTGGAGAAGCCATCTACAAGGAAGTAACATGGGGATGGTACTATGAACCAAACTATATGTAAAGTTTATTTGGGTTTCACCAGTTTTCCACTAATGCTCTTTTTCTGTCCCAGGATTGCATCTGGAATTCCACATGACACTCAGTTAATGCCTCTTCTTGTTCTCTGTAATCTGGTACCGTTCCTATCTCTCCGTGCCTTTGTCTGAGGAGGACTGGTCGGTTATCTCACATTAATGGAATGTTCCTCCATCGGGTTGTCTGCTGTTTTCTCATGATAAGATTGGGGCTATGCATTGTTGGGCAGAAAAATGTCAAGGTGACAGGCATCACCCAGGGCATCTTGTCATGGGCTGGGTGATGTCCATGTGTCTGATTTCTGGACACATTGGAGAGGTAAGCCTTGTTCACGGGATTAAGGAGAGGGCGCCAGTTTCCTTCATTTGAAAGTTACCATTTTCCCCTTCGTTATTGATAAACATCTATTTGGGGAGGGATACTCTGAGACTACACAAATACTCTTTTAAGCATTCACCCTCTAATTTTAGCTTGTCCGAGGATCTTGTCTGCAGCAGTGATTGTGGTAGTGTCTCAGTGGTGATTTTCTATTTCCCTCACTCCTACGCTTATTGATTGGAATTCTTGGGCAAAAAAAGAGTTGCCTCCCCTCCCCCATTTATTTACTGTTCAGTTATTATATCAATATGGACTAGGGAATGTTTATATTTATTTTTTATTTGGGTTTGTGGTTTGAGAGCCAGCCTCAACCCTGAAGGCAGAGGGAAATTCTGAATGTTATCACTGTAACTTAGCGTCACAGAAGCCCACCTTGCCGACCAAAGCCAAAGGGTACCAGGAAGACACAGACTGGCTGAGAGAAGGCAGGAGAGCCTGCCTGACAGGGCCAGGAGGAACACAAGGCATTGCTGGAGCCAGGGAGCTCACAGGCAGTGGCAGTGGCAGGACTGGCCTCCTCAGAGGGCCTCTCCTGGTCACCTAGATCACGATTCAAGTCTGGAGACAGGGTTTGCCCTTGTCGTGAGGGCCAGAGGACTGATGACATTCACTTCAGACTGTTTCCATGGGGAAGAGAGAAAACAGGTGCTACGTAGCCAGGAAACCACTCACCACCTGTCAGTCCCTGGGAAAGCAACCCTTTCTCTTTGTTCCGTCTTCAGGAACAAAGCTCAAAGCCATGGTCTGTGTAACTGTCCCCTCCCCCTCCAGGCCAGCGGATTGCTCCACTAGGCAGCACCCCCACCCGTCACCCCACTCAGAGCAAGCTCACTGGCATCTGGACCCACCACAAGGTTTGAGGAAAGCAAAAGAGAGGTCCCCATGCTGTGCTGCCCTGCCCTGCAGGGACAGGGACGCTGGGTCAGCATTCTGGTCTGCCCTGGGTGTGGCCTCGAGCAATCTCCACCTTTCCTGGTGGGGCCTCACCTCAAGGAGATAAAGAGTCCTCAATAACCTCTAAGATCTCTTGAGACGCTTAAAGTCTGTAATCGGGATTTCAGAACACCCCCCCCCCGTGGGAAGTTTGCTAGAACACGGAACTGTTGTGACTTTAGATTGCATGAGTGACATTCTCCAGGCAAGGAGACTGCCCTGACCAGAGGGCGCTGGGGTCTTGTGAGAGTCGGCACATTCAGGTGTGCCAGGGGCAGAGCCATCACCAGGGATCAAGTCATCAGAGGAAAAGGTGAAGCTATGGGGCCTTGCTAACTTGTGAAACAGAAAATTATACATATCTCATAAAATCATAGATTCTTAATACTGGAAGAAAACAGCTGTCGTTTCCCCAAACCTAAGGTGCCTGCAACCTCCGATTCAGCAGATCGGGGTGGGAACTGCTTGGCCCAGGAGCACACCTTGAGTACCGAGCCCCTACGGTGGTGGATCGGTGGTTCCAACCTGGACAGCACGTTGGAACCGCTTGAGAAGCTTAAAAACCGTACTTGCCGCCTGTCCCCTTCCCACCTCGGGATTCCGAGTCAGTTGGTCTGACGCGCAGCCTGGACGCCGGGAGGTGCTACCTCGCAGAGGAGAATGGGAACCGCGCCGGCCGAGCGCTTCTCCGGGGACTGGAGCCTCAGCCTGGCCGGAGCGGCTGCGGCCCGCCCCGAGAGCCCGGCGCGGCAGGTCCCGGGCGGGGCCTGAGCGGCTGCACGTCCAACAGGCTCCCGGCGCCGCGGACTCCGCTGGTCCGCGGTCCAGAAGGGCGCCTAATTTGGAGACCAAGATGAAGTGCCTCGCTCAAGGTCTGTCCACACCAGACCTCCAGACTCTCGGTCCCGGACCGTTTCCTCGGCCAGTCTTGCCGGCTGTCCCCAGTGCGTCCCGCATTCCTTCCCCGGATCCACGGCGGCGGGAGCAGCGGACACCCGCAGAGGGGCCCGCCTCGGTCCAGCGTCAGCCCTTGCAGACTGGCCCCTGCCTGCCCGGCGCGCGGACGCGCGGGGACGCGCGGGGATTCCACAGGGCCCTCGCCGCCCTAGGACCCCCAAGAGTGGACCTGGGCTAGCTGGGGTGGCGCCCGCCACCCGCGGAGGCACGGTTGCCATGGCGACGGCGCCCTCCCCCAGCCGGCGCGGATTGGTGCGCCGAGGGGCGCGCTGGGCGCGCGGGGCGGCGCGAGCATAAAGGCGCCGCGCTCCGGCCGCCCCACGTGCAGCTCGGGGCTCCGCACAGCGTAGCGCAGGCTGGTCGGGAGGTCAGTGCGGAGGTCGCCCGCCGTGTCCGCGGCGCGGTCCCGGGGAGCCAGGACCCCTCTCGGGGCAGGGGCCGCGGCGGAGCCCCCTGCCCGGGGCGGCGGGGCGGGGCGGGAGGCGCGGGGCAGCAGACTCTGCGCTGGGGGCGAGCGCGCCCGGCCGCGCTGCAGAGCTGGGAGGGCGGTGCGGGGGCGGCGGGGCGCGCCACCCGCTCTCGTCCACTTTTTGGAGGGGTTCCCACGCCGGGGAACAGGGCGGGCAGGGCTGTTCCTACAAAATCGGTTCGTCCGGTGCTGTGAGAAGCCGTCTCCCGCGGAGGGTGGGACCCCACATCCTTCCCGGGGTCCGGGCTGAGGTCCTCGCGTCCTCTGCTGGCCCTTGCCCTGGGCGCCGCGGGGGCGCCTCCGGGCGGCTGGGGACGGGAGGAGGGAGACGCCAGCTCTGCGGAGCCGGACCTCCCCCTGAGACCCTCTGTGGCTCAGGCTTAGAGCTCCGGGAGGTTTTCTCAGTCCTTTCTGGCTTTCAGATCATCCCCACGTAGAGCCCAGACTTTACCGGCTCGAAAATTAAAACAAAACAAAAAACCTAACGTGGACAGAGCCTTGACCGCACAGTTCGCCAAGTGCTGTGCATGGATTGACTGCTTTTATTAAATCCTCTGCACAGCGTCCTCTGGTGGTACTGGGATTGCTCCTTTCGGGGGCGAGGGGACTGCCTTGCACCCCGGGTGGGTCGGTGCTCCCCTGGGGAGAGGCGGGTAAGGTCCCCCTGAGGGGCCCGGGGGGTGTCTCCTCTTGGTCGCTAGCATCTGCTTACCTTGGACTGGTCACTTGATCCTGCAAAATGCGAAGAAGATTCCAGCTTCAGGGTTGCTGTGAGGGTTAAATAAGAGTTCAGGAAAGCAGGTGCTTCTTTGGTGCACGAGAGTTATTAAGAGGTGCCTGACTTTTCCTTGGGGCATCACTATTTGGAGGAACATTTACTATTATTTAATGAATCGGCGCCTTGCAGATGTGTTAGGTAAAACGTTATTGCTCCTTAAGGCAGAATAGGAGAGCCTGGGAAGATGACGGGGGGCGTGGCCGTCGGTGCAGCTGCGGCTTCCTGCCTGCAGAGCTGGAGGCCGGTGGCCAGCGCAGGGCACAGAGGGGCCCCTGAGGCTGGAAGATAAGAAGAGGCCGGTGGGAGAACAGTAGGGAGCTGCGTGACAGGGGCATGGAAGTTTGGATGCAGCTGGGGTTTGCCGGGTGTCCGGGGACATTACTGATCTATATTGGGCGGATTTTCTAGCTCTTCGGCAGTATATGTATATGCATGCCATTTCTTGGTGCTGGATACTTTTAAATTCCATTTAATTTTAAATTATGGTTACAAACGTAGCATCAGATTTACCATCTTAAACATTTTAAGGCACACAGTTCAACCCTAAGTCTATTGTTGGGCAACACATCTCCGGAGCTTTTTCATCTTGCAAAACCGAAACTCTATGCTCATTAAACACTAATTTTCTCTCCCTTCTACCCAAACCTTGGCAACCAACTACTTTTCTACTTTGTATCTATGATTTTTGACTATGTTGTATATATACTTTAGAGACAGGGTCTTTGCTCTGTCGCCCTGGCTGGAGTTGCAGTGATATGATCATAGCTCACTGCAGTCCTGAACTCCTGGGCTCAGCGGTCCTCCTGCCTCAGCCTCCCAGGTAGCTGGGTCTACAGGCATGCGCCACCACGCTACGATTTTTGACGACTTTAAAGAACACACATGAGTGGAATCATGCAGCATTTGTCCATTCGTGACTGGCTTATTTCACTTAGCATAATGTCTTTATTTACTGCTCCATGGCTAAGTATGATCAGAGCTAGAAATTTTGGGAGCTCTCGGGACAGCAAGAGCATCGAGGAAAACCAATGGTGAAAAACTCAGGGAAGAGGCCTGTTTTTAAATGGTAGTTTTCTTTAATATTCCTAAAACAAAATTGTCTGTCTTCAGAGTAATCACAATTAAGTTTTTTTCCACCCCAAGAAATGGAAGTAATTTTTTTTTTTTCTGATGACAGGGGCATTTGATTTTGTTGTGGTGTAGACAAACACCCCTGATGGTTTCTCCTTCCCGTCTGTCTGCCTCTTGGACTCGGTGTAGGGTGAGTCCTAACGTGTGCCCCGGCTTCCTGGGAGAGGCAAACGTGCTGTCTCCTGGCACCTGTCTGAAACCAAACTCGTCCATCTTCTCGCCTGACCCGCTTCTCCGGGAGGCCCATGCTTGCAGCAGCCCCAGTTAGAGGCCTCAGTGTCATCCAGGACTCCTTCCCAAACCCACCCATTGCCACAATCGCCAATGCCACCTTAGCTCTGCGTCTGTATCTCCATCACCCCTGGCTTCCTGGTGACACTGCTGTCTCAGGGTTCTGCCGCTGCTCGTGCAGATAAGTGTATACGCCGGGAGGTGGGAGAAGTCACAAATGACCCCCCTAGAGAGGCCTGGCTTCAGCAAACGTGTGCAAGGAGAGTCTGCTGATCTGTTCTTTTTCATCTCTCGCAGTTCAAGGAGGCGCTTGGGAGCAAAAGTTTATGGACTGTCATTTTGATCTTTAAAGCATGGAGGGAGGAGAATCTTCTTTGATGGTTTTCCCCTGTATAAATTTAATAACTGGCTTGGCAAAGCAAGTTTTCATTTAGAACAGCTGTTCTCAAAGTGTGATCTGGGAAATGGGGGGTTAGGGAGGGGTCACGGAGACCTTTTATAGGGTCCACGAGGTCAAAACTATTTTTAAAGGACTACTGAGGTGTCATTTGCCTTGTTCATTCTTTCTCTCACAAGTGTATGGTGGGGTTTTCCAGGGGCTGCATGACTTGCAATGAGCTTTTTCTCTGATGGCTAATGAGATACGCACTCGTGTATTCTTCTGTTTCTAGAATCTTTTAAGGTAGTAGAGTCAGGGTATAAATATGTGCATTTTCAGGGAAGAACTCAGTTCTTAGTACTTCTGTGCATTTACTAGCTGCCTTTGCTTATACCTATTATTATCTCTGTGACCTCATTTTCTTTTGATAAGGCATTAATTTGAAATCCCAGAGCTTTCCTGTGCCTATATGGAAAAATGACAAAAAGTATACTTTGTAGTCTTGATTTGAAAACCTTTCTAAATGTTTTAGTGGTGTCAAATTATTTTTTAATTTAATATTTTACTCTAAAAGGATATACATTTATTTTTTATATTTAAGGGTAGATTATTGGCTTAAAAGGGGGATGTTACAGCTTTTCAAATTAGAAGTGACAAAGTCGAAGCATCCAGCAGGGTAAGGTATCAAGTCAGGTTGGCTGGAGAAACACACAGGAAAGCCTGTTTAGATGATAAAGCACCGAAAGAAGTCACAACACTGCCACTTTCCAATGAGAAAGAAACTTGCCAAATTAAAGATTTAGCTGCAGACGTGAAGACTGAGTTATTATCTTGACTGCAGAAGTGTATTTTTTTTTTTTTTTTTTTTGCCTTAGAAGTGGAAGAATGGCTAGATTTGCCATTTTGCTTGTGTTCTGGTATCAGTACCAAAGTGGTCGTGTGAAGATATCCTTTTAGTGAATGTTTGGCAGCAAACACAGGTAGTGCCAAGATATTCAAAGTGTTGAATAACTTCTTTGAATGTTATGGTTTACTCAGGAGCAGCTGTGTTGCATTTGCATTGATAGCGCAAGGCAGTGCTAGGTAAACCTCCTGGCGCCTCGGTATATATCAAGGCAGCCGTGCCAAACTGCAGTGGTAGTCTATTCTTTACTGCTGGGACTACAGGCACGCACTACTGTGCCCGGCTAATTTTTCCTATTTTTAGTTGTTTGGCTAATTTCTTTCTATTTATAGTAGAACGGGGTCTCGCTCTTTCTAAGGCTGGTCTCGAACTCCTGACCTTGAGTGATCCTCCCTCCTCGGCCTCCCAGAGGGCTAGGATTACAGGTGTGAGCCACCTCGCCTGGCCAGTAGGACTTTTTGGTATTATATAGTGAAGTGTGTTAACATTTGGAAAATGTGCATAACTCACTGAACCAATGTTTTCCAAAAGACCAAGGCATGGAGTTACTAAATCATGCAGGAGTTCGTGATCCATTTAAAAAGCAGTAGTTTAATGTAGCAAGGTACAAAAGCTTCATTGATAAGATTTCAGATTACATATCACAACTAACCTTTGAGAAACTACCATGTGTTGAGTTTTATAGGAGTATCGACGATGGAACATTCAGGATTATCTGCAAAGGTTTATAAAATACCATTTCCTCTTTCCATGACTTTGCTGTGTGTTTGCCTTTTATTTTTATACTTTAGCCAAAGCAACAGTTGAATAGAGAGCAGAATCAGATGTGAGAATCCACCAGTTTTCTATTAAAGCAGACATCAAAGAGCTGTATAAAATGTAAAATAATGGCATTCTTCTTACTAAATGTTTTTTGCTTTGGAAAATAGTCATTTTTATAAAATATGTTAACATGTTTATTTTTAAATGTATGAACAAAATTGTTAAACATATCTTGGTTTTGATTTCTAATGCAGGAAATATTAATAGAAAAAACAACATGTAAATAATGGTTCTTTTGGGGTCCTCAGTTTTTAAGAGTGTAACTGAGTCTTGAGATGAAAAAAGTTAAGTTCTGCCCTAAGAGTATTAAATGTGCCTTGGCAGGAGCGAGGAGAAAAGCTACGTGCTGTCGACTGTTGGAGGTTTTTAAATTTTAGTTTTGTTTTTAATACCCATGCACTGTTGAAGCAATCCCGGAATAGGGGCGACAGTGCTGCTCGGGTTTTCTAGGGGGCGGTGGCCGCCACAGTTAAGTGCAATGGTGCAGTAAAGCACTCAGCCTGTGGCACATGGAGAACATTGTTAGCTGTTAATAATAGTGGAATAAAAAGAACTAACTCAAGGCCGGGCGCGGTGGCTCACGCCTGTAATCCTAGCTCTCTGGGAGGCTGAGGCGGGCGGATTGCTCAAGGTCAGGAGTTCAAAACCAGCCTGAGCAAGAGCGAGACCCCGTCTCTACTATAAATAGAAAAAAATTAATTGGCCAACTGATATGTATATAAAAAATTAGCCGGGCATGGTGGCGCATGCCTGTAGTCCCAGCTACTTGGGAGGCTGAGGCAGAAGGATCGCTCGAGCCCAGGAGTGTGAGGTTGCTGTGAGCTAGGCTGACGCCACGGCACTCACTCTAGCCTGGACAACAAAGCGAGACTCTGTCTCAAAAAAAAAAAAAAAAAAAAAGAACTAACTCAGTTATGAATTGTCCATATGGTTAAACTGAAACACTATATTCAAGTAAGAATCGTTTGGTGCCGCCTTCATGCTTCCCCCTTGTGAAGAAAGAAAAATGAATACAATTGTACCTTTCTACTATCTGCAGGTCTGTTTTTTACTTGACTCTAGTATTTTCAATCTTTTTTTTTTTTAAAAAAAAAAGAAAAACTTTCAACTGTGGCCATTTATCATTTTGCTTTTGAGAACTGGGGATTGTCTTTGAGTTTCAAATGTTCTGGGAAGTCCACTTGTCTCTCGGCTTCCTTATATCCCTTTTTGAAAAACTTGTTATTGCAGAACGTGTTACCTCTGTCCTCAGTATCGCTTTGAACTTGCTGAAATAGTGACTCTAGGAATCAAGGTTCTGCCCTGGTTTCAGGTGCCAATCAGGGCTGCGGGCATGGTTTTCCTCAAGTGAGCCTGTAAGAGCCGATTGAGGAAAACCTCAGCCTTTCTTGTGAAGTGGCCCATCCTCGACACCCCTTTTCTGACCTCGTCTCTGTGCAGTGAGACCAGAGATGTGCCTACCTTGGGAAGGCTCTCTTCTGCTCACGTACTTGGGGACTGGGGACATGAGCTGGAATGCAGGGCCTCCGGTGCTGGGGCTGGCAGGACAAGTCACCGCCCCAGCAGAGGCCCGCCTGCTCTTTTCTTTTTGAGATAGTCTTTCTCTGTCATCCAGGCTGCAGTGCAGTGGCATCATCATAGTTCACTGTAGCCTCAAACTCCTGGGCTCAAGCGATCCTCCTGCCTCAACCTCCTGAGTAGCTGGGACTACAGGCGTGCACCACCACGCCCGGCTAATTTTTGTAGACAGGGTCTCACTCTGTCATCCATGTTGGTCTTGAACTCCTGGCCTCATGTGATCCTCCTGCAGCCTCCCAAAGTGGTGGGATTACAAGTGTGAGCCACTGCGCCTGGCCCTACCTACCTTATTTTGGCATATTAAAGAGCAAACCCTGGTGACCCATAAAGGGGGTGAAAGCATATGTTTTCAGAAGACGATATTTTCCTTTTGTTTTCTTCAACCTGGGTTTGGGTGTGATCAGGGAATGCAGGAAGCTATTGCTGCCTCTGGCGTTTTAACTTAGAATTACTCTCTTAAGTCTACTCAAGGCACTGGGTTGGGTACAAGTTGAGATTTTACTGAAACTACTGTGTTTCCCCGAAAATAAGACCTACCCATAAAATAAGCCCTAGCAGGATTTCTAAGCATGTGCGCAATAGAAGCCCCACCCCGAAAATAAGCCCTAGTGCTGGGCGTGGCTACGCAGCGCATCTGCACAACCCATGCGTTTCCTCGGGGAGTGGGAAAGAAGACGAGCAGCCCTTCTCATCTGCCCCGCGAGAGCTCTGTTGCTTGGCATGAGAGATTGGGGCCAATGGTTCTAAAGGAAATAGAGTCGCAAGAAATTCAGGATGGAATTCGGGGTTTGGAGAGTTATGAAGATGTTCCAGAAGAAGACGACTTCACTATATTTGAATAAATGTAGATTGTTATACTGTACTTAAAAAAATAACACATCCCCTGAAAATAAGCCCTAGGGTGTCTTCTTGAGGAAAATAAATATAAGACCCTATCTTATTTTCGGGGAAACACAGTATCTTGCACTGTGCTTTGTTTATTTTTTCTCTCTTTATAATGAAAAATATAACCTTGAGGGACATCAGAGTTGGCTCTGAGGGCTCACTACCCTTTCTGTGAGGAGCGAGCTTGCAGGTGAGTGAGAGGGTGGCCGAGGCTGCTCGTGCGTGCCCGGCGTGTGATCGGCCTGTCTAGGCAGGGCGGGAAGTTTGCTGTCAGAGCCAGCGAAGCAAGCCGGGTGGCTCCAGGCTGCTCTGGTGACATGCTTGCCTGGCTATTGGGGACAGAATGGGGAACATGGACGTTTGAAGCCATGCAGTCGGACCATCCTGACCTCTCGAGGCCAGGACTGAGTTCACGGTCAGCCAGTGGTAAAGGTGACAAGGAAGAAGAGCCAGAGACTAAATTAAATATATATGATTTTGGAAACAGTGAGAATATGGCTTTTCTAAGTGGTCCTCTCTAAGGAGATGGCAGTACAACAAAAATTATTCACAGCCTGCTAAATATTGCTGGGGGCGATCCGCTCTTCTAGTCTGGTTCATTCCGAAGACATCTGAGCGTTCCTACAAGACTTACAGGGCACTGTGTTCTTCAATTGGGGGTCTCTTGGACCCTGAGATGGATGTGTGCACACGTTGATGGCAGTTGTAGTTAAGATGTAAAACCCTCACCAGATCCATTGACTTTGTTTTGGGGTCAATTATGGCTCTCTGCAGGAATTTCCTCTGTGGCATCGGATCCCAGTTGGCATCAGCATTGTACGATGTCAATTCTAACTCTCGGTTCAGCCTTGGTTTGCCTGGACTTTGTGTGAGTGACATTTTATCCCTTTATTACAGTACGCACTTGACTGGCTTCCTGTTGGCAAACTCAGCAGTTCAGATCCTGAATCCAGAAACGTGACTTTGCCTGTTAGCTGACAATCTTAGCGTTAGTTTCAGTTAAAGAGCTTATGTGGAAGGGTAGAAAGAATAAGAGTTTTGTAGTTAACTCCACTTCTTTTTTCTTTACAGGCTATTTGAGTAGAAAATGCCAGTCGTTAGGATGCTGAGGCAGGTGGTGGGCCCGTTGGCGCAGCACCCAGCCTGCGGCTGTGGGACATATGGCCCGCCGGTCCGGTCCCTGGCCATCTCCCCTCGGCAAGTTCCAGCAGATGCCAGCTTCCACTCCTCCTCTTTCTCTGATACAGACCATCCACGAGTCTTAATTACAGGTTGTTTTTCTTTTTTTTTCTTTTTTCCACTTTGGTGACTTGATTTTTTCTTTTCCGTACTGCTTCTGAGTGATTGTGCCTTTGGTTTTGGAATGTGTAACACGCCATCAGAACCTCCGTGTGCTGCTCGTCCCTGTAGCAGGTAATGCAGCAGAAGCAGGCTGACCAAATAACATCCAGAGTCTGGATTTATTTACTACTTTATGAAAAGGATCTCAGAATGGGAGATATTTTGTAATAGAACATTTTTAACTAGAGCAGCTAACCTTATTGATCAGATACTACCTTTTTTCACCATTAGCTTTTTTTAGAATATTGCAAATCCAAAAATTCTTATTTTATCGCTCTTGCCAGTGCTTGGTTTCTCTGGCATAATATTTTTTTGTAGCCTGAAAGGACCTAAAAACCTAGGGGCCAAATAGCTGCTCTGGAACTTGGTTCCCTTCCTTATTGGATCAGTCTGGGGAGTGAAGGCTGCTGGATAGGAAGGTACCAGGAGTAGAACATTATTCTGGAGTCAGGCATACCTTCCCTTGGCCAAACTCCTAAACCTAAACTCAGTGTCATTCACCCCAAACTGTTATTGCACATTGAAGTATTGGAAATAGAGAGGGTAAGTTAGTATCTGTCTGGGCTCGTTGTCGCCACCGAGCTCGTCATCGCCATTGAGCTCGTCGTCGCCATTAGACGACGACAGGATCCCTGATCCTCCTTATCTTGAATATTCCTGGCACCTGACTGTACCCTCCAGACCTTGCTCTGTCACTTCCACTCAGCCCAAGTTCACCTCTGATTTTCATTGACATGTTTCTTTCTCCTTCTTACCACATTTTCTTCCCTTGGCTTTACATTGATATCCTTCTCACTTTCCTCACTTTGTGTGTGTGTGTGAGTGAAATCCCACTTTTGTGTGTTGTTTATTTTTTGAGACAGAGTCTCACCTTGTCACTCAGGCTAGAGTGCAATGGCATCATTATGGCTCACTGCAACTTCAAACTCCTGGGCGCCAGCAATGCTCCCGCCTCAGCCTCCCAAAGTGCTGGGATGACAGGTGTGTCACTGTACCTGGCCATTTTTACCTCTCTTAATGGCCCTTCTCAATTGAGTCATCTGCCCTTTTTCCAAATGACTTCTTGGTTTGTCCCTTCCTCATTGCCTTTTTATATCTCAGTCCAGTTCTAATGGGATGGGATTCTGGATAATCCCACTAGAAGCTGATATTTGGTTTTGAATGTTTTTGGTGCCCATAGCAGACAGACAAGCTTCCGAGCCCATCTAAATGCTGCACTGTGTTGTCGAGGAGAGTGGAGTGAGCAGTGACTGTGTCAGCCCACCCTAGGACTTTATCTAATTAACTAAGATTGAAAAATAATCTTACATGGTTATTACAGTTTTAGAATAATTGGACTGGTTAGATTTGGATTAAAATTTCACTTGTTTCTTCTCCTAGGGGGCCTCGGCCAGCTGGGAGTGGGGCTTGCTAACCTTTTGAGGTAAGAGCCCTAAAAACTTGAAATTCAGAATCTGAGATCGTAAGTATATGACCCTTGTCTTTGATGCCATTTAACCGTCTTTTCTCTCTCCTCTTGTCCCTTAGCATTTTAGATATCGTACCTAAATGTTTCAAATACACTTCATTTTGCCTCTTAATATCACAGACCTGTCGCAAGCCTTTGACTCATCTCCAGTCCCACCCTCTGCTCCGTCTCTTTCCTAACCCAGGCAGAATGAGACATGTCACTGCACGTGAAGCACCTGGCTGCAGCTGCTTGGGGCAGAGGGAGGTGCAAGTGGAAACTGGAAGGAAACCATGTGGGGTTTGGAGAGAGTTGTAAGATAAGGAGGGGGGGGTAAAAACTCTAGGGCACTAGGAAGAAATTGGTGACAGACAAGAGATGTAGCGTTGGCAGAGGGGTGAGAGGAGAAACGGACGACAGGGTGTGGGCAGGGAGAGAGAGGCCCGGGGACGAGAGGGGCAAGAACTGAAGGTATGTATATGTGAAGGAAGAAGAGGAAGGAGGGATTTTGGAGGGTGACAGTGAATTGCAGTTCCTGGGTTAAGATCGTTTTCATAGGACCTGTTACAGCCTAGATGCTGCCAACTTGTGTGTTGTGATTTTTCCATTTAGGAAACGGTTTGGGAAGGACAATGTGATTTTGTCCGACATAAGGAAACCCCCTGATCACGTCTTCCATAGCGGTAAGAGAGCCATAAGCCTTGCTTTTGTTTTTATCTTTAATTTTCAAAGTGCAGCTAAAGAGGTGGCTTATGGAATCAGTGCGGGCAACAGCTCATACCAGGTTTATGAATTAAAGAAGTTGCATGATATGTCACTTGAAAATATTTGTATTTTCATATAAATATAAATATGTGTGTTTTATATAAAAGCTGAGAGAGAGAAATACACATAAAGCCCTTAGAACAGTGCCTGGCATGTACAAGTACTGGAGAAGCATTAGGTATTGTCACCGGCGGGGTGGCCTTGTCATTCTTCCACGGGGAAAGCGCTGCAGAGCACCTGACGGGTTTAGTTTACCCAGTTGCTACTGATGAAATTCACAAGTCCATGGGGGAGAGGGGAAAGGTCCATTTAGTTCTTCAAACCCCAAACTATTTCACTTCTCTGTTTTCACTCTGTGTTCCCCGCAGGCCCATTTATTTATTCGGATATCTTGGATTACAAGAATCTTCGAGAGATCGTGGTAAACAACCGCATCACCTGGCTGTTTCACTATAGCGCCTTGCTCAGCGCGGTGGGAGAGGCGAACGTACCCTTGGCGAGAGCTGTGAATATCACCGGTGAGCGCCTGGCCCTGGCCCGGTGCGGTCCATTCGCCAGTGCTTCCAGTTCTTTGGCAAGAAGAGATTGTTTTTTTTCAGATCGTGATAACGTCTGTTCCTTTCAGGATTGCACAATATTCTGGACACTGCATCGGAGCACAGTGTGCGGTTGTTTGTGCCCAGCACGATTGGGGCTTTTGGACCGACCTCTCCCCGGAACCCAACCCCTGATCTCTGCATTCAGAGACCCAGGACCATCTATGGGGTGTCCAAGGTCCACGCGGAGCTCATGGGAGAAGTAAGCGTCACCTGGCGAGATTGCTGAGTGCAGCGGGGCAAGATGATTTGGTGTTTTCTTTCTCATTCTTTTTGCCTCAAACCGATTCATGCTTGGAGGTGCTTCCCCTGTCCCCTGACCCCAGCCCCTAGAGTCGGTCAGTTGGCTCACTGTGTTTCCCGGGTGGCAGGCGTCCGTAGCTCCTGCAGACCTGCCCAGGGCAGCGTGGCAGCCTCTCCACAGCCGAGTGGTGACGCTCAGCACTTCAGGGCCCCGTGCGTGGCTCCCTCCCTCTCTTCCCTGCTGTCCTCTTTCAGGCTCCAACATTGCTAGCTATCGGTGGTGACTATAAACCTTCTTATTATGGAAAACTTCAAACATTTTTTGGTTGTATTTTTTACACTCTTTTTAGTCAAATTCGGTTGCTGTCTCACCCTTGGGTGGATGCATCACTGTCCTTGTCGCTCCCCTGCTGCTCTCTCCGCTACTCTGTCCAAGGCTGCGCTACGGGAACGTGCTCCTGTGGGTTGTTTAGGGCAGTGGGCAGGAACCTCCTCTCCAGAGAAAGCTTGGAAACCCCTACTGTAGGCTGGTGTAGTATTTACAATGTCAGTGTTATCACCAAAATGGCGATTCTTTGAAGATAAAAACTCAAGTTGTTTATTAAAGATAAACGAGGCCAGGTGCAGTGGCATGCACCTGTAGTCCCAGCTACTGGGGAGGCTGAGGCAGGAGGATGGCTTGAGCCTAGCAGTTTGAGGTTGCTGTGAGCTGTGATGATGCCACTGCACCCTAGCCCAGGTGACAGAGAGAAATTTTGTCTGAAGAAGATAAGATAAATGAGTGCCTCTTGGAGATTCTAAAGTCTTCATTTTCTTTAGGTATCATTTTAATATAAAATTAAAGGAGAAAAGGGTGTTACTTCTTTGCATCGCTCCATCTGATTTAAAAGATTCTTTTTTGGAGTAAGTTTTTTCTTTGTCATAGTATTATCATTACCGGTATGGATTAGATTTTCGATGCCTGCGGTATCCTGGAATCATTTCAGCCGACTCCCAACCTGGAGGAGGAACTACTGGTAAGTGTTTTCTATTTCTTTTGTCTCTCGTGTAGGAAGCAGGTGGTCCTGCAGCACGCCACTGCGCTCCAGCCTGCTGGCCTCCTTCACTCTCCTCTTTCGTAAGCGCACCGTGGAGTTTTCCACAGCTGTGTCGTGTGGCATGTGACAGGACAGACAAGAGACTTAACACGACACGAAACAGGTCTGCCTTTGCAGCAGATTTTGTTTGTTTGGAAAAATGCATTCTTTTTCATATAAAATAGCATACATACTAATATAGGTTTATTGCCTTTTTTTGTTTTTGAAATAGAGTCTCACTCTGTTGGTTGCCCGGGCTACAGTGCAGTGGCATCATCACAGCTCACAGCAACCTCAAACTCCTGGGCTCAAGTGATCCTCGTGCCTCAGCCTCCCGAGTAGCTGGGACTACAGGCATGCGCCACCACAGCCTACTATTTATTTATTTATTTATTTTTGAGACAGAGTCTCACTTTGTTGCCCAGGCTAGAGTGAGTGCCGTGGCATCAGCCTAGCTCACAGCAACCTCAAACTCCTGGGCTCAAGCGATCCTCGTGCCTCAGCCTCCCGAGTAGCTGGGACTACAGGCATGCGCCACCATGCCCGGCTAATTTTTTCTATATATATTAGTTGGCCAATTAATTTCTTTCTATTTATAGTAGAGACTGGATCTCGCTCTTGCTCAGGCTGGTTTTGAACTCCTGATCTCGAGCAATCCGCCCGCCTCGGCCTCCCAGAGTGCTAGGATTACAGGCATGAGCCACCACGTACGGCCTATTGATTTATTTTTAATAGACACAGGGTCTTGCTGTGTAGCTCAGGCTGATCTGAAACTCCTGGCCTCATATAGTCTTTCTGCCTTGGCCTCCCAAATTGCTAGGATTACAGACATGAGCCACTGTGCCTGGCCTATTGTCATTTTAAAATATAGTAATATTTAAAAAAATTCTTAGTTAACTCTAGTAGAGTAAATATTGATACAAGCCACATTAATCAGGTCTCTTTGGGAGTCCTCAATTTTTAAGAAGTCTTCTGAAGGCTCAATCTAGGAATGTCTAAAAGAGGCTGCAACCAGAAAGTACTCTGTAGAAAACAGTGTTGTTCTAAAGTGGTCTAAATCAGGAGTCCTCAAACTACAACCCACGAGTTCTAAGGAGTTCTGAGACTAAAACATTGGAGAACTGCCGCCTCCATCCAAGAGGCTCATGCAGGGTTTCGGTATAAGAGAACCCACAGACAGGACTGTCTTTCAGACTATGCAGTCCAGATTTTCCATGATGCCATGAAGCACGGCAAATTCGAGTGCAACCTGGAAGCTAGCACGAGGCTCCCCATGATGTACATTGACGACTGCCTCAGGGCCACCCTGGAGGTCATGGAGGCCCCGGCCGAGTCTCTCTCCATGAGGACCTACAACATCAGCGCCGTGAGCTTCACCCCCGAGGAGCTGGCCCAGGAGGTTCTCAAGCACGTGCCGGAATTCCAGATCACGTACAACGTGGACGCCGTTCGGCAGGCCATAGGTTGGTACCTCGTGGCAAACAGTCTCAAAGCCAAAATTCAGCTTCGGCCTTCACTGAGTCCCTGGGGCACATAAACCTGGAAGGCTGGGGAGAGCACAGCTCCTTCCTGAGGTCCAGACACTTTCCGGAGAAGGAGCCAGCAGACGCTTCGATGTGGGGAAGTGATGTCTAAAGTGGGTGAAATGGTTCCATTCCAAATACACAGCTCGTCAGCATTTCACCATTTTTACAAAGCAAGGAAAAATGGAAGCAGTGGAGGTAGTATGAAAACAGCTCTGGGTTTTTAAATACTGTAACTTTGCCAATTTGTGGCTGGGAGCACCTTTTTGAGTATAAGATTCCTACCAAAGTTGCATGTGATTTTCACACTGTGGGAAAATTTTTCACAGTGCCTGAGAGATGTGTAACGTATAGTCTTCTAACTAAGCTCCACTGCTCCTCTGCTGTACTCAGAAGAAATTTCCTTTTTTGACTTTTGTATAAAATGTTCTAGACTGTTCTGCAAAATCTAGAGCCCAAATAACTCGAGCTGCTCTCTTCTTCTCCTAGCGGACAGCTGGCCGATGAACTTTGACGACAGCAACGCTCGAAAGGACTGGGGCTGGAAGCACGACTTCGACCTTCCAGAGCTGGTGACCACGATGTTGAACTTCTACGGTTCCGATGCCAGAGTGGCCCAGGCCAACTGAGGGGGCCCTAAGGGAGAAGCAGCTCCTGCATCCCGGACTCCTGTCGGGGGGGAACTGCCGCCACCCAGAGGTTGTAGACCCCAAGGAGCCTGTATTATTGGAGTTGACTAATTGGACTACATTTTGGCAGCTCATATCCAACTGCTAGGTGGAGACTGGAGTTAACGTTAAGCATTCTCAAAATGTTTGTAGGTTCGGTGGGAGGACTTCACTGTCTTTGCTGTTTGCCTAAATTTGTCTAAATGCACATTCCACGGAGTGAAGACTTAAGTCATCATTAGTTTTCATTTCCCTAATTAAGATGAGACGGCCATTTCTGGGAAGGTAGAAGTTATGTGACATTTGTACTTAATTAAATCCAACTTAAATATCACTCCCAGTGCTCCATTATTCTCTTACTAGAGACCAAAGATTACATTGTAAAAACTTTAAGAAATGTGCTCCTAGGATAGAAGTATTCTTTGCTATCTCGTCTGAATATAAAACATGTTTGGTGTGTAACCCAATGTGCATAATGTTCAAGGGATTTGAATTTCTTCAACGATGGTTACTTCTAACTTACTTTTCTGCAAGAAGATACATCTGTAGGAAATGGAGAATATTAAAGGTGATGTAACTAGTGGGGAGCAGCCCCTCTCTCCCTGCCCTCCTGTCGGTGAGCTAAGTGGTGATTGCCAGGAATGTAACTCCTCACCTGGCAACGCCAGCAACCAGGGGCTTGTCTAAGTTAAGCGTCTCTGGGCTCCACCCCACAGCCAGGTACTTCTGGTCATTCTGATCCAGCCACGAATTTAGACCAATTCAGAACAACACTGTTTTCTACAGAGTACTTTCTGGTTACAGCCTCTTATAGACATTCCGAGACTGAGCCTTCAGAAGAACTCCTCCACACCTCTGATGCAATCACTATAGAAAAATACAGATCGAACTTTCTTTGCAGCTACCTCAGCGTGTGTGACAGGTGAAAACACTAGAAAGGAAAACTTCCAGTTCCACGGGTTAATCATGGGTGTATTTGATAACAGCTGTCAAGGATGACAAGGCATTTCTATTACGTGCTTAATGACAATAAAATGTTATGCGTTTGGAATTTTGTCTTATTTATTTTCAATATATTTAAGGGGTACAAATGCAGTTTTGTTACACAGATATATCAGATAGTGGTGAGTTCTGGGGCTTTGGGGGTTCCCATCACCCAAATATGGGGTACGTTGTACCCAGTAGGTGATTTTTCATCCCCCACCCACCCCATCCCCCCACCTTGGGAGTCTCCAGTGTCTATTACTCCAGTCTGTGTGACCGTGTGTCATAGTTTAGCTCCCACTTACAGGTGAGAACTTGCAGTACTTGGTTTTTCATTCCTGAGTTTCTTCACGGAGGATAATGGCCTCCAGTTCCACCCAAGTTGCTATAAAAGACATTGTTTCATTCTGTTTTATGGCTGAGTGGTACTCCATGGTGTGTACATGGACATACACCAGATTCCACTTTTTTTTTTTTTTTGGAGATTGAGTCCCACTCTGTCACCCAGCTTTGAGTGCAGTGGCATCACCATAGCTCACAGGAAACTCAAACTCCAGGGTGCAAGTGATTCTCCTGCCTCAGCCTCCCGAGTAGCTGGGACTACAGGCATGCGCCACCATGCCGGGCTAGTTTTTCTATTGTTAGCTGTCTGGGTAATTTCTTTTTTTTTTGAGTAGAGAGAGGTGCCCCCTTCTGCTCAGGCTGATCTCGAACTTCTAGCCCCAAGCAATCCTCCCATCCGGCCTTCCAGAGTGCTAGGATCACAGACGTGAGCCACCACGCCCAGCGGATAATTGGGTTTTAAAGCTGCTTTAATTTTTATTGTTTATAGTTTGAAAAACAGTTCTTAAGTTCCCTGATTCTCAATTATCTTAAAGGAATAAGAAATTCTTCCATGAGAAGGGAAGATGCAACTGACTTGGGTGACCCTGTGTCTCATAGACCCTGGTGTTCCAGCGTTCCCACCAGTTTCCTAGGATGACCTTGTCATCGGGGTGCTTTGGAGGGATTTGTTCTAAATGGCTTCCTTTAATCTAACTCTATGAAGGCACTGCTGGGAGAACCTCAAAGAAGAGTGAAAAAATGATGAATGCTTCAACTTTCATGGATGACTCCTATTCACTGACATCTTTGCACTCTCAGACCAAAATTAGTTTCTGTCTAAACACTCAATATCTGGGGCACCGCTTGGGGTCCCACAAAATGACTCTGTGTTTGCTATAAAAAGCTTTCCTTTCTGTTGGGAGAAACTGCTTTTTTAATGGTCAATTTGGAAATGATGAGAAGAGCTACTTAGAAAAAGTGGATTTAACCACAAAAATAGTTTTTTTGATTTTAAATAAAGAATGCCACGGTTGGCTTTGCCCTGATGTCTTCCATCTTGTAGGTTTGCACGGATCACCAGTGTGGTTATTGGTTCTGCCCACACGTTTCATTGTGGTGTTGCCGCGATGCACCTTTGGGCTGGTCCACAAACAGCACTCACCTAATGACTGCCAGCGAGAGACACTGTCTAACCTCACAGGTGGACTCGGTCAGTGAATGTCACTGCACTGCTTCAGATTCGTGTCGTGGTAGGCGTGTGTGCTAACAGTTGTTTTTTTAACTCATATAGGCCAGATCGCCAATTTGTTCTTGCATTTTACAATAAGGGCATGAGTGTGTTTAAAAAATACTTTAAAATTTTCCATTTAAAAATTTCTTGGGGGCGTGGTGGCTCACGCCTGTAATCCTAGCATTTGGAGGCCGAGGCGGGCGGATTTGCTCAAGGTCAGAGTTCGAAACCAGCCTGAGGCAGACCCCGTCTCTACCAAAAATAGAAATAAATTAATTGACCAACTAAAATATATATACAAAAATTAGCGGGCATGGTGGCGCATGCCTGTAGTCCAGCTACTGGGAGGCTGAGGCAGGAGGATTGCTTGAGCCCAGGAGTTTGACGTTGCTGTGAGCTAGGCTGATGCCACGGCACTCACTCTAGCCTGGGCGACAAAGTGAGACTCTGTCTCAAAAAAAAAAAAATATTTCTATTAAGAATTGAAAGAATTAAAAACATATAATTTAAACCCCATTAATAACATGTTAACAGGATAGTGTGTATCTTATTATTTTCCACCTGTGTTTATACAACCTAGGATCGAAATGTCCAACTTTTTTTTTTTTTTTACTATAAAGGTAGTGCTAAAGCAACATTGCCAAAAGTTTTGGAAAAGACTTGCAATTTTTGCCACCTAATGTAGTAGCTGTTTTTAATTTTTTTATTTTTTATTTATTTTTATTTTTTCTATTTTTCTTGTCATAGATGGCATGTAGTAGCTGTTTAAAATATTCTTCAACCTTCTCACATACACTGCAAATGACGTAAGTGTAGTTTTAATATTTGCACTTTAAAAATAGCTGCATAACCCATTGAGTGACATAATCATAATGATGTAATTATCCCACTATTTAACTGCTATACTTGGAAACCTAGAAGTACAATTTCTGGGTCACAGAGCATAAACATAAAATTCCTAGTTTTCTTATTGTCATACAGTTGTTTTTTGAAGGAAAACCCCAAAGCATTTGCTAAATACTGCCATATGCTTTGAACCAAATTTTGCAATGTTTACTAAATTCTGGAAACCAACTGCTATGCTGACATATTTATTCAGTCTTAAAACAGATGGGAGTCTGTTTTGAGGGGGAGACGTGAATGGTTTTTAAGAATCTTTCTGTTTTAATAAAAGATTCAAAACTGATCCCTGTAATATTGAATGTTGATCATTCAATAGTTTATATAATTGCGTGGAAACTGTTTCCAACACTTCTGTTCAGGAAAGACAATTTATAATTCTCTGGAAAGACTCATTTGCACTAATAAACAAATGTTCTTTATCTTATAGTTTGTATTTTAATACAGATACTCCTTGACTTAAGATGAGGTCACACCTCCTGATTAACCCATCGTAAGTCGAAAATAATGTAAGCTGAATACAGACACCTAACCTGCAGAGCCTCGTAGCTTAGCCTCACCTGCCCTGAGCATGCTCAGAACACATACAGTAGTCTATAGTTAGAAAAAATCTTCTTGGTCTTGAATGATCTTCTTGGTCCCCTGCTGGAATGTTCCCTGGCCAGGTGACCAGGCCAGGAGCACTTGAAAATGCTCAGCTGACGCCTGACTCTGCTGTTTTGGGACCGGGCATCCCTCCCCCATTCCACTGGCCCCGAGAGACCGCGTGGCCCGTCTTTCCTTCTATCTCTGTGTCCAACCTGGGTCAGCACGTCTTATTCTCACTCCCCTTTCTCCAGGGACCTAGAGGCCCTTTGCCAAGTCCTAAATCTCGAACGCCCAGCTGCAAACTAGATGTTCCCTTTTTCAGGGCAGAGGGTGCTGGCTTTCATCAGACTCTCAAAAGGTCCCCATCCATCCCAGAAAATACAGAACCACGGCGTTAGGGGGTCTTCACCCGTGCATGTGGACGAAAGGGCAGACCGCTCTAGCGCGGGCTGTAGCGGGAACTGGCTGTCCTGCTCCCTCCCGCCCTCTGTCTGGGTGCCAGGCCTGAGAGCGGGGCAGTCCCCACAGCCCCCAGAGGAAAACGGGGCAGGCTGCGCACCTGTGCTGGCGCAGTTCCCGGCCCCACTTAGCTTATCCGCCGCTCTGCCCGTATCTTGAGGCCGAGACCTTGTGAGCTGATAGCATCCTGCCCTCCTGCCAGAGTCCGCACGCTGCATGCCCATGAGGCTGGCCGCCGTCCCTGGGAAGGGGGTGGACGGAATGCCACCCTGTCACCAAAGCAGGCGGGTGTACTCGGCCTTCATCGGACAGGCAACTTTGGCTTCTCCTCCTCTCTCCTCCTCCCCAGCACGAGCGGTGGCTATGCGGGGTGTTGGTCCAAGGGCATCTGCCGTCAAGATGCACTGAGCTTCTGACATTGGCCCCAGGGACGTCTCTGTCCCTGGCAGGGATCTTTGCAGGGCCTCAAGCTCCCGGGACCACAGACACGGGCAGCAATGCAGAGTCCACGCCTGGGGCCTGTGGCTGGCAAACGTCCCTGGATGGTGGCGGGTGGGCTGAACGAGCGGAGAAGGCGTGGACGCCAGCTGGGCGTCTGTGGGCATTCTGAGTGGTGTCGACGCCACGGGGCCCTCCAGCTCTGTGCCAGCGGAGCCTGCAGGCAACGGGCACAGTGGAGGGCGGCGAGGTGTGAAAGCAGCAGCCGCTGTGTGGGGCGGGACTAGCAAGGCGAGCGCAGGACGGGAGTGGGGCGTGCAGTCTAGGAAGCACGTCACCGCGGCGGCAAGTCACCACGGGAGCGGTTTATGGCAAAATCACACCCAAGACAGGTAGAGCCCCCAGGAG